GAACGTATTGAGGCAATACAAAAACCAAATCATTGGAAAGAAAAAACGTTCGGCAATACAACAACAATTATTGCTAGTAATAGCACTAATTTCTCATGATTATTTTTATTAATACTCCCGAAATTTGTTTGAAAAAGTATCGTTTTGTAAATGGACGGCGTCATTTTTGAAGTTTTCTAAATTCAATTCAAACCAATTGAACTTTTAATGTAGTTATAGTTGTCTTAAATTTATATTAATGTGCCAACATAAGTGCACTTCGAACTCATTGATTAAAAAAATGTATGTGATTCATATGTTACACTATAAAAACCCACTAAAAGCTATTGGGGTTTTGTAGGAGGGAATGTGTGAAAGATAATAGATTTATGTGAAGCAGATCATTGATTAAATTGGAATGCTAAAGTTGGCCATTGATTTGGGCTTCCAATGATCAAAAATATCGAAATGCTGCGTTTGAGTTTGAATGCTATTCTGTTTAGATGTAGCCACCGCTGTGAAGACTTCGAGATAATGAACGGGATGGATGAAAACCTGGTTCTTGCATTTCCATTTGCATAACTAAATTTTTGGCTTGGTCCCGAATTTCGTAGGCACGCTTCGCTTCACGGCGTAACATTGCAGATGCTGCACCCAATAAAGCCATTGCTACCACAGCCAGACCAAAAGACCATGAGATAATATTGAATTTTGGATACATCAACCAATCGCGGCGGTATGCATTGAAGCCAAAGATTAAAATCCCCAAAAATATCATGCCACCTAAAACAAATGAAAGAAAGGAAATATGACTTTCATTAATCAATGGCTAAAAGACATGCGAATGAACTAAGTAGAAAGCAGAATAACTTACTTGCAACTGCTGAAGCTATATGAGATATTTTTGTCATGAGCCATTCGTATTGCAATACTGTCTTCAATGGCCATCTTATCAATTCCAACGCCAACAAACCCAATGTCAAAAATGTCAAGATAAAAGCTAAAGTTATGCAAATTTGCACAGTTAATAACCATCCGGGTAGAAGATATTCACGAATCATGTAGTAGTCCTGAATATAAAGAAAGAACGAAGTTTAACTCAATTAATTGTACTACCAGCTATATAAATATAGCTTCAGTGTCATAATCGATATGATGTAAAACTTACATGACTGAATATATTATGGCATCCATTGAATTTTTTGGGAAATTGATAATTTGGATAGTAGAAATCTTTGAAACAGTACTCCCAGAGACCCATTTTCTTGAATGAACTGAATGACCCATCATACGATTCGATCCAATAAGGTGAGCAAAACGACATTACCAGAAAAAGGCTCCCAACATAAGCTACAATCGATGCAAACACCAAGCCACCTTAAAAACATATTAATAATGAAAATGAATTAACTTCGGAAGTAAATTGAACATTGTTTCAATTGGGGCGTAGCCCCATCTCCTAACAATAACACTGACTATATCAATAATTTCAAACACAAACTAGGGAGATCTAATGTTATACTATCCAATGTATTCAAGTAATATCGAAATTTCGCAATCAAAATCGATTAGGATTCAAAGAGATCTAATGAATCACTCCAGAAATTTATTATTTGATTTTTTTCTCGAACTAATTTCTATTTGGTTTTAATTCCGAAATTTGCATCTTAAAGAAAATGGATATATTTACTTGATGCGCGTGGATATTCATTTTTTTCCGGTGCGTCCACACTCATATTCACGTATATTTTCCACGATTTTTTTACTTAATGGTAACGAAAACGGAATTTAATGAGAATAAACAGAAATATATGTCTTAATTGCCAGAAATATGAAAATAAATTTGGGTGCGTATAGTGTATATCATTATGGTATTGTTTAACACATATACATTTTCATGTTACTCAATTGATCGTTAATGGAGTAAACTCTGTTGGGTACCAACTGTTCAAAATAAAATTTGTGGATGATTGCTTTAGCTAGATACCAACAGAGTGTGCTGTCATCACAAATAAATTCCAATGGAAGTGATCAACGAAATGGTCAATTAACTTGTCTTCTCTAGCAAATCTTTAATACATAAAAGCTGAATTTTGAACAATTGAGGATACTTTTTAGCCATAGTAAAATAGGGAAGAATAAATTTGAAACAAATACCTGGAACTGTTTACAACAATTGTATTTACTGAATGTGTTCCATCCACTTTTCTTCCTTTGAATCATATGAATGATTTTTTTATAGAAAAAGACTGAAAACTTCTGTTTTTCTGATTTATTGAAGAGATGTGGTACATTTGTACAATTAGGGTGTTCAGCTAATCTGAAAAAGAAGAATGAATAGCATAAATTTAAAGAGAAGCCAATTTTATGTCAACTGGTAGCATTAATAGAGCGTTATACAACACTTCCAGAAGAAAAAAAAACTCTTTGCAAAATCGAATAATGCTTACCTAAACGACCCACTAGAGTACTCCTGCGCAGTTAACATCAACCAGATGGGGAGTCAACTTGCTTCAACGCAACTATCCCACATGATCGGGATAGCCTTTAATAACTAATGTTACATTTTTTTTTGTTTGCAATGTGCTGATTAGACAGCATGATCAGCTGGCTGCTGGTCGTACTCGAACATTTCTACATCATTATCCACGATGGCGACAGCTGCAGCGGCTGCTTCAGCGGTTGCTCTAGCGGCAGCAGCAGCGGCAACAGCAGCGGCTGCTTCAGCAGCTTCGCGCCAATACCTATTGATCGCCTCTGGTATCGGAAGTCCCAGTAATGTCCATAGTCCTGAACAATTAAACAAATGAACCTTCTTAAAAAATCATTCAATCAAAATTGTGCGTCAATTAGCCTTACCTTTCAGTAGAATGTTCTTAGCAGCCACGACGTCACGATGCCAAATCACAGAGCATTCGAGGTTTAATCGCCAGTTTTTGTAGTAACATTTTACTTTTGGGAATAAACGCTCGTCTCCTACCAATGCTTCTTCGTTCATGGCGCGTTGCAACTGTCGGTAGATCGATAGATCCGTTTTGCCCAACTTTGACACAATTTTCGTTGGCAGCAATGTTCTGGCGTCGGGTACGCATCGGCATTTCTTGAATCTGGCCGCTTTGTTCTGGTTTTGGAATCGATTCATACATCTTGCGTCTGTTTGAGATGTTCCCCATTCGTCCACCAATTGTATGAAACAATCTCGGCGCTTCTTTATTGACCTCAAAGTCAAACGAACCCCTGGGCAGCGCACGTGCTTCTTGATACTTATTGGGCTATCAGGTGGTATTTCGCCATCAGCACCAAAAAAGAACAGAGTCGGTTTCTTATCGGTCACCTTATTCACCCATTCGTCGACAACACTACTGCTCTTGATGTGTTTGTCCAAGGCGAGTCGAGTGTATTTGGCAGTCGAGTAAGCGCAGATTCCATGCTTCATCATCTTGACTCGGTGTTTGATGTAGTTCAGCCACATTGACCCTTTTGGCGACGGCATCACTGGATACAGATCACGGTTTTCTCTGTCTGCGCGCTCCATTTCGACGAAATTTTTGGTCCATCGCGCTGCTTTGGCATTTCGCACCTTTTGACCTGTTTGCCAGTGGAATTGCTTGCTCGACATTACAAAGTTGGTCTGAAAAAATAAATAGAAAAAAAGGTATAGTTATTGAGTTTTGGCACTTAAGCATTTTCTATTAAAATACACACAACTTATTCAAATGTATACAAAACTTACTTCTTTGCCAGTTTCAATGTCGTGTGTTGTTGTGGTATTCCAACTTCGCACGCCTGTATCAACGCCCGAAAAATTTTTGATTGTGCCATCCTCAATCTTCTGAATGATGCGAGATTTTTGGTCGATTTCTTTGTTGGCTGTCTTCTTTTTGGCCGAGTACTGGAGAGACACAGAGATTCCATCGGTGTTTATGGAATAGTCAAACTGCTTTTTGGCACGCACGAATCGTCGAATTTTTCGCATGTAAAAATACTGATTCCACCAATAATCTCTCGAATGATTGAAATCCTTTTGTTGAATCGTTTTCGTGCTTGTTGTTCCTTTTTTATTCTCGATTTCCACTTTCGGTAGCAATTTTTGCGAAGACAACACCTGGTGCATAGATGTACAATCGATTCTGAAGTGCGTACGCCGGAAATCACACATCGGCACCACTACTAAATTCCGAATCAATGGCCGAAAATCGGGGTTGTCGAGCATCTGTTTGCGCTTCCTCTTTCTTCTTGACTTTTTGCGCTTTCGTTTCTTCCGTTTCGATCGGTGTTGATGAGGCCACATCGCATGGTATTCTTCTATCTCACGTTGCATGGATAGGTACATTGGCATGGCCTTATACCAATGTTTTGGGTCAGTTGTAAGGTCATGCAGATCGATTTCTGGGAACACATTGCAATCTCTCACGATATCATACAACACCTCACACCGTACAAGTTTGTTTGGATCGCGACTTGGCACTTTGATATCTTTTTGCTTGATGATCAACTTGACAACATTTTCGATGTCACTTGGCAAAAATTTCTCTCCATCCTCTTCCAAGTTTGAGTTCAATTCGAACACTTTCAGTACCAAGTACTGGGTGATGTGTTTGTTAGCATGCGTTTCAAGATTGGTGACGACGTTATCTGTGTACTGATTTGTCAAATGCTTAAGGCCATTGCTGAAATCTTTGTTGTTGGGCCAATCGATACGATGATAGTCGTCAAGACCTTCGACAATTGCCTTGAATTCAGGATCGATACGTGGCAGCTCTGCTCGTGGTCCTCGTGGCTTTTCTCCTCTTGGTTTATACCTTGACTTCGGTTTTGGTGGCTGATTGTTGTGCCATAGCACTTGTTCAAAGCAGAGTTTGATCTTATCTTCTCCACTTCCACCAAACAATGCGAAATTATTGTTCTCGACGCCTATATTCGAACGCCTTTTGCACCTCAAACAAGAACAGCAATGAGCCCAAAACACAAATGGAAGTGGCTTGCAAACTCAGATCCGTTATTTTGCTCATCAATGCTTGCTGGTATTGTGGGCGAATGATTGTCTTTAGCGCACATTTGATCGTCGTAATTTCATCTTTCGTCTCTCCCTCCGCTGGTATTGATGGCTTGAAACGATTCGCCATTGTCCTACTGAAAGAAAAAAAACACACATTCGATTTAGTTTGAAAACGAATAATATTGAAACTTAAATTCGATTTAGTTTGAAAATGACAACAGAATGAGACACACAAAAATGACTTCGGTTTGATAACAATGGCATTGATTCAATTTGAGTTCGAACAGTAATCGATTAACTGTTTCTCTTCTCCGAACAATGGACTCAATTCATTGCATAAAATGAATTTCACCATCACACGTATTTCACCATCACATGTAACAGAACTATGTACTGCAGAATTATTGTGAAATTCATTACTTTTTTTCATGGAATCTAATATTACTGTTGATATGTTCAATATATTTCACGTTATAAATGCTTATATTACGTTTTTAAAATGAATTCCACAAAAAGAAGAAGATATTGAAATGATCAAGTTTACTCACACTTTGGCGACTTGAATTCAATGTGAACTCCGGATCAAATCGATACAAAACGCACGTAAATCGAAAATAATACGAAATGAAATACCAGCAAAATCGTAGATAAATTAAATTGCAGTGTAAATTTCCAGTTTAAATTGTAAGATAAAATGTAAGAGTTTCAATTTGTTGACTTGGTGTTCACAACGCTGTATGTTTTCTCGGAATGAATGATGCGGCGTCTGTGACATTTCGAAAACTGCTGAAGTGAATGTCAAATGTCATAAGGATCGGTTCACATTGCCAATTTTTAGAACATTAGACAATTTGAGCTACAAAGAGTCAATTAATACTAACACATAAAAACGGTTATATTTCGGTGAAATTCCAAATTTATTAGCAATGAAGGACGATTTATTGTTTGATTCCGATTTTTTGGGCCGAAATCTACGTAGAAATCATATATTCTTATTTGACTCCCCAAACCTGAACACCCTAGCTGTACATATCATTTAAAATGTATAAAATTATATGGTTAAATGTGAAATATTATGCATGTAACATTAATTCTAGAAGACTGACTTAATTTAAAACGTTCAAACAATAGAATTTAAAATGGACGGATTTACGAGATTTCGATAGTTTTCGTGTAAAAGATAACAAATTTTATAGCTATGTCATCGTCGAGATTTACCTTAAATCACGGTCTAAATAACATTTTTTGTTACGGCAAAATTGACTTCGTAGATTTTCAATATTATTTTGACGATCTTTCAAGCTCAAATCGAGCCTGTGAATCTTTCAACTGTTTTAATTTTTTATGCTGAACATTTGCTTCGGTGAGAAACAGGACAGATGATGCAACTAATCCAATAGCTCCAATTACAGCAAGGATAAAAGACCATCCTAAAGAAGAATATAGATCAATTTGTTAATTTTTATTCGTTTCATTTGAGAAAATGGAGAAAAAACTTAAATAAAGCGCTAATGAAAAAATGAATTTTCATCGGTTGGTTTCAAACACTGGACTTCTCAAAGAGAAACAGAAAGAAGAAGAAGAAGAAGAAGAAGAAGAAGAAGGAAAAACAATGTAATGTATTTACCGAAAAAATTGTTAGCATGTTCAGGCAACCATTTGTCTTTGTTTCCCCAAATTGCAAAAATGATCACACCCAGGCAGCCGCTTGCTCCACCGCCTAGCAACAAAAAACCTGTACTCTACGGAAAAGAAAAAAAGATATCACATACATTGCCGAAGACAAGAAAGCCAATTAATTTTCCCAAGTGATGAGTAAAAATTTATTTAATACGCCCAAGTTTTAGATGATCTCCTACTTATATCAACAAAACATACGCTATCCACTTACTTTTATTAGTTTTACGAAAAACTTTTGATCTGGCCCGGCACATAGAAAGAAGAACATCACCAGCCCAAAACCAATCAGAGAAGCAATGAAACACAATGTATAGAAAAATTGTGTCGCGATCATGAATGCTTTGGAAAATAATCGTTGTTAAAGTAGTTCTTAACCAATTTTCCTTTTAATTTCAATTTTCAAATTTAACTCACGAGGAATCAAAAAGCCACGTATTTCATCATATCCTGTAGTAAATGGGTCAAATACCCAGCGACATCCAACGAAAAAGCGTCTATTGTAGTCATCATTGGGATCAGCCAGTGATCTGAAACAATGTGTCCATAGTCCGAGTCGATCGAGTTTTGCTCCTGTTATTCTATAATCACTAACTATCCAACTTGGTGTAGCAAATGCGATGAACACACAAATGAACGATATCATAAACAAGCCAATCCCGCAGCTACCCGAAAGTGTTCTTCGCTTCATCTCTGATCTGAAATTGAGCATTGAAACATAAAATTGGACACTGAATGTGATTGTGTTGATATTAGTGTGTCTCATGTTGCTTTTTTATGCAATATTTGTATTCTAATAATTCATTCATATATACATTGACTAAAGCCATGTGAAAAGCTATCTTTCTCGCAATTGTACAACGCCAAGTTCTATCTCACATAAAACATGAATAATCAAGCAATGTTCTCTTAACAAAACGACAAGTTTCGAAATTATCTCTCACAGGAACAATATGCGATTCATTACTTTTCACACATGAGCTTCTCGTGAAATTCACATGCATTTTATGACTTCAGTCATAGTGTACTACTTAAGTCCAGAATTTTTGCAAATAAAAAATGCAACAAAATCGACTCGCACAATTATGCGAGATGTGAAGTGAGGGTGGCATATTTTAATTTAATTGCTTGGATATGCGACGAACATTTTTATAGACAATCTTGAAATGGTGTTTGATAGAGTTTAATTATGGAACCAACTAATTCTTTTTTGTTGTTCTTACACCTGTGCGCCATGCTTTTTGTTGTTATTACTCATTCTCTAAATGAATCACCTGCGTATGTATTTCGTAATATAGTAACCTTTTCTATTTGATTGAACCAATGTTTATCACGATAATTCACGTGTAGAATATTTTAAATGAAAATTTAAATGCGCTACATTCGCTTGAATAGTAATATTTTAGATTGAAAATTTGTGGCTGAATATCATCACAAAATTGGTTCTAGGTCTCTTTCATCCAACAATTTATAGCACAACTAGTTTCGATATCTGTAACTCACTTTGATCAAGTTTATTTACACAAAAAATATATTTAAAATGGAAAAATAATGAAATTCTTCCAGTAAGTTGCTTACAATGTCTTGGCACGCCCTGAAATCAACTCTGAATTTTGTTGCATCGTTACCGTCGTTAACAACTTAGACTTTGTTGTCTAAATATTGGTATGCAATTATGTATACATGATGCCCTAGCATGCGTGTGTGTGTGTGTGTGTGTGTGTGTGTGTGTGTGTGTGTGTGTGTG